GAAACAACGTGTCTGTGTGGGTATCTCGTACTCCAGTATTGTAGAAACAGCGTGTCTGTGTGGGTATCTCGTACTCCAGTATTGTGGAAACAGCGTGTCTGTGTTGGTATCTTGTGATCCAGTAGCTTCGAAACAACGTGTCTGTGTGGGTATCTCGTACTCCAGTATTGTGGAAACAGCGTGTCTGTGTGGGTATCTCGGACTCCAGTATTGTGGAAACAGTGTGTCTGTGTGGGTATCTCGTACTCCAGTATTGTGGAAACAGCGTGTCTGTGTAGGTATCTCGTACTCCAGTATTGTGGAAACAGCGTGTCTGTGTGGGTATCTCGTACTCCAGTATTGTGGAAACAGCGTGTCTGTCTGGGTATCTCGTACTCCAGTATTGTGGAAACAGCGTGTCTGTGTGGTTATCTCGTACTCCAGTATTGTGGAAACAGCGTGTCTGCGTGGGTATCTCGTACTCCAGTATTGTGGAAAAAGCGTGTCTGTGTGGGTATCTCGTACTCCAGTATTGTGGAAACAGCGTGTCTGTGTGGGTATCTCGTACTCCAGTATTGTGGGAACAGCGTGTCTGTGTGGGTATCTAATCTTTAGACGAATTAGTCGTGCTTCAGTATTGGGACAACGTGTCTTTGTGGGTATCTGAGCAAGAGCGGAAATAGTCGTGTTCTACTATTGTGAAAGCAACGTGTATGTGTGGGTATCTCTTTCTCCAGTATTGTGTGGGTATGCAGGCAAGAGCCGAAGTAGTCACGCTCTACTAGAATAGAAACAATGTGTATGTGTGGGTATGCAGGCTAGAACCGAATCTGTCGCGCTCCAGAACTGTGGGACAGCATGAATGTGTGGGTATCTTGGCGTCAACAGCTGCTGTCGCGCTCCAGAATGCGTAGGTATCTGAGCTAGAGCCGAATTAGTTTTGATCCAATGTTAAAGGAACAACAGGTATGTGTGGGCATCTAAGGCAGAACCGATCGATGTGGACGTGCTCCAGGAGTCTGATAAATACGTGTTCGTGTGGGAAAGTTGGCTAGAAACGAAGTAGTCGTTCTCCAGTTGGAACAAATGTATGTGTCAGTTTCTAGTCGGCTAGAACCGAAGAAGTCGTGCTCCGATATTGTGGGAACAACGTGAATGTGTATGCATTTACGTTAGAGCCGAGGTATTGTTGGAAGAACCTGAATGTGTGGGTATCTAAACTAGAACCGAAATAGTCGTGCTCCAGTGTTATGGGAACAATGTGTTCGGTGGGTACCAAGACAAGAGGCGAAGGAGTTGTGTTCCAGTAATGTGAATATGTGGGTATCTAAACTTTCCCCTGACTTGTGTTCCAGTTTTGTGTGGTTATTTGGGCTAGAGACGAAGTAGTCGTACTCTAGTACCAAGAGAACGTGTTTGTGTTAGTATTTGGGCAGGGTAAGACTGACCCCCTTCTTCAACGATGCTTGAGTGCCAATCCATAATGGGTTACGGCTAATTTATCCTTCACGTCTACGTATTCTTACATACTTCTTAGTGTTGTTGTCAAGGGCTTAGGTGACAAAATTAGCACGCCAGAAGATAAGTACTTCATGCACTATTTACATTTTTGTCCTTATATGGATACATTTAACTATTGTGTACCAGACTTATGTGTGAACATGCAGATTTCAGGATGTTATGTAAAATTCTTGCGTTATATAGTACTAATGCAGCCCAAAGATAATGCTAGTCACATTTACTACATGTGGACAACTAGTTGCAGTCACTACTTGAGTGACTTGTAAACCTCACCTGTATATAATATTAATAAACTACAGTAAAATGTTTGAAATTTTCTTTTGAACATTAAGACTCCTACTTTGGGTTTGTAGGTGATGGCCAGGAACTGTGTGCTGCTGTTGAAGCACATGTCTTGCACATGACTTGCTTCCTAACGCGGACCTCAAAGCCTGGTATAGTCTCAGAGGCTAGTCACACAGTAATTGATTACAGCACCCGTCTAGTCACAGCACCGAAATATATAATATCTACAGAAACCTCAAAATATATTGAACCTGAATGAAAACAGTAATCAGTAGTCTCGAGATATTGCATTATGAAGAGGATCATCTCCAGACAGTGTGGAAAAACATGGTGTTTGACATTGGTTCAGAAAAACATGGTGTTTGACATTAGTTCAGAAAAACATGGTGTTTGAAATTGGTGTAGAAAAACGTGGTGTTTGACATTTGTGTGGAAAAACATGGTGTTTGAAATTGGTGTAGAAAAACGTGGTGTTTGACATTGGTGTAGAAAAACTTGGTGTTTGAGATTGGTGAAGAAAAACATGGTGTTTGACATTGGTGTAGAAAAACATGGTGTTTGACATTGGTGTAGAAAAACATGGTGTTTGACATTGGTGTAGAAAAACGTGGTGTTTGACATTGGTGTAGAAAAACGTGGTGTTTGACATTGGTGTAGAAAAACATGGTGTTTGAGATTGGTGAAGAAAAACATGGTGTTTGACATTGGTGTAGAAAAACATGGTGTTTGACATTGGTGTAGAAAAACATGGTGTTTGACATTGGTGTAGAAAAACTTGGTGTTTGAGATTGGTGAAGAAAAACATGGTGTTTGACATTGGTGTAGAAAAACATGGTGTTTGAAATTGGTGTAGAAAAACATGGTGTTTGAAATTGGTGTAGAAAAACATGGTGTTTGACATTGGTGTAGAAAAACGTGGTGTTTGACATTGGTGTAGAAAAACGTGGTGTTTGCGGGGTGTAGAAAAACGTGGTGTTTGAAATTGGTGTAGAAAACGTGGTGTTTGACATTAGTGTAGAAAAACGTGGTGTTTGACATTGGTGTTGAAAAACATGGTGTTTGAAATTGGTGTAGAAAAACGTGGTGTTTGACATTGGTGTAGAAAAACATGGTGTTTGACATTGGTGTAGAAAAACGTGGTGTTTACGGGGTGTAGCAAAACGTGGTGTTTGAAATTGGTGTAGAAAATCGTGGTGTTTTACATTAGTGTAGAAAAACGTGGTGTTTGACATTGGTGTAGAAAAACATGGTGTTTGACATTGGTGTAGAAAAACGTGGTGTTTGACATTGGTGTAGAAAAACGTGGTGTTTGAAATTGGTGTAGAAAAACGTGGTGTTTGACATTAGTGTAGAAAAACGTGGTGTTTGACATTGGTGTAGAAAAACGTGGTGTTTGACATTAGTGTAGAAAAACGTGGTGTTTGACATTAGTGTAGAAAAACGTGGTGTTTGACATTAGCGCAGAAAAACGTGGTGTTTGACATTGGTGTAGAAAAACGTGGCGTATGACATTAGTGTAGAAAAACGTGGTGTTTGACATTAGTGTAGAAAAACGTGATGTTTGACATTGGTGTAGAAAAACATGGTGTTTGACATAAGAGTAGAAAAACGTGGCGTTTGACATTAGTGTAGAAAAACGTGGTGTTTGACATTAGTGCAGAAAAACGTGGTGTTTGACATTAGTGCAGAAAAACGTGGCGTTTGACATTGGTTTAGAAAAACGTGGTGTTTGACATTGGTGTAGAAAAACGTGGTGTTTGACATTAGTGTAGAAAAACGCGGTGTTTGACATTAGTGTAGAAAAACGTGGTGTTTGATATTGGTGTAGAAAGACGTGGTGTTTGACATTAAATAGTGTAGAAAAACGTGGTGTTTCAAATTACTTTTGAAGTTAAATCATTATGAGAAAATTGCATTAACCTTTTGTGTATACATACAAACATTCCTAACAACTAATCAAAATGCCTTGCTTTGTACACATCTGCTCAGCTTGGTTTTCCTACCGAGTGAAAGGACAGAGAGAATAACGACAGATGATGATTGATGTGATAATTGCCTTGCTATTATCGATTTATATAAGATGTCGGGTATATGACATGTGACATTTTTTCCTTGAAAAGTAATAGCTGAGTAGGCTCAGAAATTTAATCACATAAGCTTTACCCTCCTTCTGTGGTAATACCTGATACCTCTGCCTTTTCTGACTATGACAGCCATGACTGGGGCTAGTAGACGTTAAACGAGATTGTCACCCCGGGGAACAGCTCAGATCACTGAATGTGCATAAGCTTTCTTACGGGCGCCTCGACCACCCTTATGACAATTGTGTTACTACTCTCTGATTTACAAGAATGAGATTTATGGTGGGGAATTTCCGTTAATTTACTAATGTAGCACACGTTACAATCGTTAAGACGATGCTGGAAAATCTACCAATGATGAAATGTAAAACTATTTTCACCGTTCGAGATAATCTAGTACAATTCCTTGAGTATTCGATGGAATTCCAGTCTAATCACTGGTCCTGTAGACTTTATACACTGTCAAGGCTTGGCTCCTATCTTTATGATACAATATTACCAAACCGTTCAAGTCAAACATTGATGCAGAATGTAAACCTTCACACACGGCAATTTTCAGTAGAGTTGGTAATCGGTGGTTTTGCAAGCCTACTTAATGTCTTGCTCAAATCTACAATCATACACGAAATGCTTGCTACATTGTCAAGCTAATATAAATGTGATCCGTTGCGCATTGGCAGATAGTTGGCACCAATCGTTCATCTAGAATCTATATGTGGTTTTTGTGGGAACCCATGTGCAATCCGCGTTCTTGACACTATCTTCTATCGTCGAATCCATGTATTCAATTCGCTCTACCATCTTCCCAGTGGGTTCTTTATAGATCTTTCTCGGGTTAACATTTATTCATTGAGTTCTTCATCCAGACCCCCATCTCACCCTGTCCTTTATCCAGTCCCCATTGTCACCCTGTCTTTTATCCAATCCCTATCTCAACCTGGTTCCTTCATTAAGTGTCCATCTCACCCTGTTCTTCATCCAGTCCCCATCTCACGCTGTCCTTTATCCTTATCCAGTCCCCATGTCACCCCGTCCTTTATCCAGTCCCAATGTCACTCCGTCCTTTATCCAGTCCCCATGTCACCCTGTCCTTCATCCAGACCCCCATCCCACCCCGACCTTTATCCAGTCCCCATGTCACCCCGTCCTTTAACCAGTCCCAGTGTCATCCTGTCCTTCATCCAGTCCCCATCTCACCCTGTCCTTCATCCAGTCCCCCATCTCACCCTGTCCTTTATCCAGTCCCCATCTCACCCTGTCCTTCACCCAGTCCCCATGTCACCCTGTCCTTCATCCAGTCCCCATCTCACCCTGTCCTTCATCCAGTCCCCATCTCACCCTGTCCTTCATCCAGTCCCCATCTCACCCTGTCCTTCATCCAGTCCCAATCTCACGCTGTCCTTCATCCAGTCCCCATGTCACCCTGTCCTTCATCCAGTCCCCATCTCACCCTGTCCTTCATTCAGTCCCCATCTCACCCTGTCCTTCATCCAGTCCCCATGTCACCCTGTCCTTCATCCAGTCCCCATCTCACGCTGTCCTTCATCCAGTCCCAATGTCACTCCGTCCTTTATCCAGTCCCCATGTCACCCTGTCCTTCATCCAGACCCCATCTCACCCTGTCCTTCATCCAGTCCCCATGTCACCCTGTCCTTCATCCAGTCCCCATCTCACGCTGTCCTTCATCCAGTCCCAATGTCACTCCGTCCTTTATCCAGTCCCCATGTCACCCTGTCCTTCATCCAGTCCCAATGTCACTCCGTCCTTCATCCAGTCCCAATCTCACGCTGTCCTTCATCCAGTCCCCATGTCACCCTGTCCTTCATCCAGTCCCCATCTCACCCTGTCCTTCATTCAGTCCCCATCTCACCCTGTCCTTCATCCAGTCCCCATGTCACCCTGTCCTTCATTCAGTCCCCATCTCACCCTGTCCTTCATTCAGTCCCCATCTCACCCTGTCCTTCATCCAGTCCCCATGTCACCCTGTCCTTCATCCAGACCCCAATCTCACCCCGACCTTTATCCAGTCCCCATGTCACCCCGTCCTTTATCCAGTCCCAGTGTCACCCTGTCCTTCATCCAGTCCCCCATGTCACCCTGTCCTTCATCCAGTCCCCATGTCACCCTGTCCTTCATCCAGTCCCCATGTCACCCCGTCCTTCATCCAGTCCCCCATCTCACCCTGTCCTTCATCCGCTCCCCCATCTCACCCTGTCCATCCAGTCCCCATCTCACCCTGGTTCCTTCATCCAGTCCCAATCTCACCCTTTTTCCTTCATCCAGTCCCCATCTCACCCAGACCTTCATCCATTCGTCCAATTTACGACGTTGTCAAGTTGCCAGCGCATGTTCGAATCTCCAGACATGACGTCATGATATAACAATGTTTTATCGTGAAATAAACCACTTTTCGTCCTTCATTGTTTCTCTGCGATTTATCGCGTAGCTATTTTACATTTGACAATGATGTTTTACATTTTATCCCTACTGCACATACAGTGATGTAAGACATAGAAGCCAAATTTGTTTGGCTTCATTCTGCTAATTAAGCACGAATGGTTACGGGAAGATCGATATCTAAGCGCCTCTAGGGGCCCCACATGATGTAATCAAGCTCAATAAATGATAGCATCTTTGCTCAGATATAACAATAACAATATTTTGATGAATGAGATGTTGATAAATGTCAGTGTAATACATGCGTGCTTGAAAACAGACAACAGGTAGTGTCAAGCCCAGAGATTATTTATGGTACACAAGATGTCATCTCGAGGTGGTTTCATAGCATTACGCCTGTTGAAGCGTAATGCATAAAATATTCGTGATCGTGAGTTAGTGAAATGAAGATTTTTATTCACCACTTCGAACACAGCAAAGCAAGACGATCTCATAATCATAATTCCTTTGCTCCCTTCTCAAATTAATAAGAGGATCTTTAACATAGTGCGCTATGTACAATGGAATGATTTATGATGCTCCTCTGCTTTACTTTAATGGATCTATTTACGTTGCTAGAATACATAACAGCGTGCATCAAAACAGCTACATCTTTGTTGTTACGTTGCAGGATATATGTTGCGTTAAAACAAAACGCATGCTGCTATAGGTTTTTACAAGGTTGAGAATATTGAGGGCACCTGCTTTAAAAACGCATTGAAGCAACGTTAACTTGCACTGTCTCGGCAACTCTTCTTTACCGTGTTGACTATACTCCACACGCACCCACGTGTGTGTGTGTCCTGTCTATCCGAATAATTAAGGACAGGGTCTATTTCAAAAGGATGTCAGTAGATTAAATAGAACGACGCTTCATTGAAATATTTACACTGAATGCTTATGTATTAGTATTAATGGCTGGTTACAAGGAGGGGACACAGTTAGTTCAGGTATTGGTAGAGAAGTGACTGGAAAGGGCGACAACAATACTCCAAGACAGCTCCAAGTAACATAAACAAACATACAACCCAAGTCTAATGTATGTCAACAGAGTCAGCAGGCATCTAAGCGTCACATATACACCTTTACATAAAACCAGCTAACCCATATCGTTAATTGTGTGAACTTACTTCGAATGACAGCGTGTATCTAACAAAGAGTACTTTTGGTGAATAAGTAAAGGCCATGCATGGGATATATATTACACAAACGGCTGCCAGGATATCGCCAGCTATTGCTTGTATGTGCATGCATGGACGTGTCCGAGATATATATTATATTCATGTACAAAGAGCACAATGTGCATGTAAACCGATATCACGACAAGACATATAATTACTTTAAGTTTAAGAGTCAGCCAAAACGAAAATCATAAAATGAAACGTATTCTAGTTATATGAGTACTCCGGGGACATGGGGGCAGGGCCAATCAGGGAACAGCTTGACGACGCACTGACATGTCTGCCTGGAGTTAACTTAATTCCAGTTGATTACAATGTTTCTCCTTACTGAATCCGACTCGGGGAGAGCTTTGGGGAATCAAGTTAAACAGCCATTTTACACTCCCTAGACCTTAATGTCAGTCTCCTTATCTCAAGGGGAGAGCAATTTCCTCAAGTGATTGGTAATTGGAGATCAGTAGCAAGCTGACCATCAGAGAGGAGCGAGCGTGTCAGGCACGACGGTACTTGTGAACTGTGTTTAATGACAGTCAGCTTTGCACGCTCTTCGTTCGGCGACAAATGCTAATTATTTTGTCAGACCGTTACCTATCCCACAGTACTTCTTTGAAGTATTTCTTCGAAATCATCGAAGTATCATTGTGTACATATATTCAATTGATTTGGAGATATTTCTAAATTAAATTTCAAAGAGCGAAAATGGTACCGAAGGGAACAAGAGCGGGGTCTACAAGTCAGCCACTGTTCGAGGGACTTATTGATAACACGCGCGCTTTGACGTTTTTGACAATTATTAAATTGAGGGTGTATATAAACTCAAATTGTCTTACTGTGCACATTTACCGAATCCTTTATCGCATATGTAATCTGAAAATAATTCACCCTCTACAGTTACAAATACACGTCTCAGGTTCATTATGACGTAACTGATATTACTGTAAGTTATTTACATTGTAGGTCACACAAATTGTGATTGAGTGAGTCAGCAATAGCCCAGCAGCATCAGAGCGGCCTGGGAAATAATCGAGTCTGGATCAGGTAAACCCAATTCAAAGAATTATCAACCATGGTCGTAATCAACCATCGGCTATACGACGACACGCAATCATCCAAGTCATCGAGCAAATTCGACTCCCTCAGTCAGGAATACAACATGTATCCACGACTTGCGTGTAGCATGTCCCCCTGACTGGCGTGTAGCATGTCCCCCTGACTGGCGTGTAGTATGTCCTCTAGCCTGGCACGTAGCATGTCTCGCTTACTGGCGTGTAGCATGTCTCCCTGACTTGGTTACATTGTAGCTTATCTCCCTGACTGGCGTGTATCTTGTCTCCCTGGCTGGCGTGTATCTTGTCTCCCTGGCTGGCGTGTATCTTGTCTCCCTGACTGGCGTGTAGCATGTCTCCTTGACTGGCGTGTAGCATGTCTTCCTGAATGGGTTGTAGCATGTCTCCCTGACTGGCGTGTATCTGGTCCCCCTGACTGGCGTGTATCATGTCTCCCTGACAGACGTGTGGCATGTCTCTCTGACTGGCATGTAGCATGTCTCCCTGCCTGACATGTAGCATGTCTCCCTGACTGGCGTGTAGCGTGTCTCCCTGACTGGCGTGTAGCGTGTCTCTCTGACTGGCATGTAGCATGTCTCCCTGCCTGACATGTAGCATGTCCCCCTGCCTGACATGTAGCATGTCTCCCTGACTGGCGTGTAGCATGTCTCCCTGCCTGACATGTAGCATGTCTCCCTGCCTGACATGTAGCATGTCTCCCTGACTGGCGTGTAGCATGTCTCTCTGACTGGCATGTAGCATGTCTCCCTGCCTGACATGTAGCATGTCTCCCTGACTGGCGTGTAGCGTGTCTCCCTGACTGGCGTGTAGCGTGTCTCCCTGACTGGCGTGTAGCGTGTCTCCCTGACTGGCGTGTAGCGTGTCTGACTGGCCTCCAACATGTCCTCCCTGACTGGCGTGTAGCGTGTCTGACTGGCATGTAGCATGTCTCCCTGCCTGACATGTAGCATGTCTCCCTGACTGGCCTGTAACATGTCCTCCCTGACTGGCGTGTAGCTTGTCCCCCTGACTGGCATGTGCCATGTCTCCCTGACTGGCCTGTAGCATGTCTCCCTCACTGGCGTGTAGCTTGTCCCCCTGACTGGCCTGTAGCATGTCTCCCTGACTGGCCTGTAGCTTGTCCCTCTGACTGGCGTGTAGCTTGTCCCCCTGACTGGCCTGTAGCATGTCTCCCTGACTGGCCTGTAGCTTGTCCCCGTGACTGGCCTGTAGCATGTCTCCCTGACTGGCCTATAGCATGTCTCCCTCACTGGCATGTAGCATGTCTCCCTGACTGGCCTGTAGCATGTCTCCCTCACTGGCATGTAGCATGTCTCCCTGACTGGCCTGTAGCATGTCTCCCTGACTGGCCTGTAGCATGTCCCCCTGACTGGCATGTAACATGTCTCCCTCACTGGCATGTAGCATGTCTCCTTGACTGGCCTGTAGCATGTCTCCCTCACTGGCATGTAGCTTGTCCCCCTGACTGGCGTGTAGCATGTCTCCCTGACTGGCCTGTAGCATGTCTCTCTGACTGGCATGTAGCATGTCTCCCTGACTGGCGTGTAGCATGTCCCCCTGACTGGCGTGTAGCTTGTCCCCCTGACTGGCGTGTAGCTTGTCCTCCTGACTTGCCTGTAGCATGTCTCCCTCACTGGCATTAGCATGTCCCCCTGACTGGCCTGTAGCATGTCTCCCTGACTGGCGTGTAGAATGTCCCTCTTACTGGTTTACATTGTAGCTTGTGATCCCCAAACTTGGATATAGCATGTCCCTGTAATTGGGTTGCAACATGTCCTCCAACTGAGATTTTGTATATCATATTGATACAGTTCACATCGACTAACAAGAAGCAACACACGACCAGCATATTATGTTGATATAGTTTACATCAACTAACAATGTGTAACACACGACCAGCATATTATGTTGATATAGTTTACATCAACGAACAATAAGTAACACACGACCAGCATATTATGTTGATATAGTTTACATCAACTGACAATGAGTAACACACGACCAGCATATTATGTTGATATAGTTTACATCAACGAACAATAAGTAACACATGACCAGCATATTATGTTGATATAGTTTACATCAACTAACAATGTGTAACACACGACCAGCATATTATGTTGATATAGTTTACATCAACGAACAATAAGTAACACATGACCAGCATATTATGTTGATATAGTTTACATCAACTGACAATGAGTAACACACGACCAGCATATTATGTTGATATAGTTTACATCAACTAACAATAAGTAACACATGACCAGCATATTATGTTGATATAGTTTACATCAACTGACAATGAGTAACACATGACCAGCATATTATGTTGATATAGTTTACATCAACTGACAATGAGTAACACACGACCAGCATATTATGTTGATATAGTTTACATCAACTAACAATAAGTAACACACGACCAGCATATTATGTTGATATAGTGTACATCAACTGACAATAAGTAACCCACGACCAGCATATTATGTATATATAGTTTACATCAACGAACAATAAGTAACACACGACCAGCATATTATGTTGATATAGTTTACATCAACTAACAATAAGTAACACATGACCAGCATATTATGTTGATATAGTTTACATCAACAAACAATAAGCAACACACGACCAGCATATTATGTTGATATAGTGTACATCAACTGACAATAAGTAACACACGACCAGCATATTATGTATATATAGTTTACATCAACTAACAATAAGTAACCCACGACCAGCATATTATGTTGATATAGTTTACATCAACTAACAATAAGTAACCCACGGCCAGCATATTATGTTGATATAGTTTACATCAACTAATAATAAGTAACACACGACCAGGATATTATGTTGATATAGTTTACATCAACTGACAATAAGTAACCCACGACCAGCATATTATGTTGATATAGTTTACATCAACTGACAATAAGTAACACATGACCAGCATATTATGTTGATATAGTTTACATAAATTAACAATAAGTAACCCACGACCAGCATATTATGTTGATATAGTTTACATAAATTAACAATAAGTAACCCACGACCAGCATATTATGTTGATATAGTTTACATCAACTAACAATAAGTAACCCACGACCAGCATATTATGTTGATATAGTTTACATCAACTAACAATAAGTAACCCACGACCAGCATATTATGTTGATATAGTTTACATCAACTAACAATAAGTAACACATGACCAGCATATTATGTTGATATAGTTTACATAAATTAACAATAAGTAACCCACGACCAGCATATTATGTTGATATAGTTTACATAAATTAACAATAAGTAACCCACGACCAGCATATTATGTTGATATAGTTTACATCAACTAACAATAAGTAACACACGACCAGCATATTATGTTGATATAGTTTACATCAACTAACAATAAGTAACACATGACCAGCATATTATGTTGATATAGTTTACATAAATTAACAATAAGTAACCCACGACCAGGATATTATGTTGATATAGTTTACATCAACTGACAATAAGTAACCCACGACCAGCATATTATGTTGATATAGTTTACATCAACTGACAATAAGTAACACATGACCAGCATATTATGTTGATATAGTTTACATAAATTAACAATAAGTAACCCACGACCAGCATATTATGTAGATATAGTTTACATAAATTAACAATAAGTAACCCACGACCAGCATATTATGTTGATATAGTTTACATCAACTAACAATAAGTAACCCACGACCAGCATATTATGTTGA